AGCAGTGAGGCCAGCGACTGTGGCAAAGGCGGCAAGGTCAGGGAAAAGGTACGGCAGCATGAGGTGGCTGAGGGCAGCAGTGGCAGGGGAGGAGTAGCGCGCAACTACAGCGTCGTACAAAGACTTAGCAGTCTTGTACTGGCCAAAATGCGCACGCTCAGCAGGCGGCAGGTGACTACGAACAGCAAGGCGAGCAACAGCGTCACGAGTGGTCCACTGCGAGCGAACAGTACTGACAGCAGTGGCAGCAGGAGTAGTGGAGACACCGGTCGTGTGATCGAAAAGGGATACCCCATCCCTAGAGTCACACTGAAGAAAGAGCTGCAGGTCGTCAACCCACACATCAAACTCAACTGCACGCCCCTCAGCATCAAAGGTGAGAACAGTGGGGCTAGCCATAGTAGCAGTAGCAGCAGGAGCAGCAGAGGCAGCAGAAGCAGCAGTGGCAGCAGGCGCAGTGCAAGGAGAAGGGCAGCGCGGCTCGGTTCGGCAGCGCGGTTCGGCTGGGCTGCGCAGCTCGGAGGGGCGGCGCGGCTCGGCTGGGCGGCGCGGCTCGGTTCTTGGCGGCGCGGCGCGGCAGCAGGCGGTGCGGCGCAGCAGGGCAGCAGGTGGCGGGGTGGCGCGGGTGCTTACCAGGGGCGGGTGCAGGGCAGGGCCGCAGCTGGTGGTTTTAGGTCAGGGCCGCGGCAGGGGGCGGCTGTAGGGCAGGGCCGCGACCGGGGGCGGCTGCAGGACAGAGCCGCAGCAGGCGGCCGTGCCGTGACGGGCGGGCCGGAACTGGCGGTCGACGGGCGGAAAGAGGGGCCGTGTAGGGCGGCGAAGGGGCCGCCGGGCGGCTAAGGGCCGTGACGGGCGGCTAAGGGGCCAGCGGGCGGCTAAGGGGCCGACGGGCGGCTAAGGGGCCGACGGACGGCTTAGGGGCCGTGACGGGCGGCAAAGGGGGGGCCAGGGACGGGCGGCTAAGGGGTCGTGACGGGCGGCGAAGGGGCCGTGACGGGCGGGTAAGGGGCCGACGACGGGTGGCTAAGGGGCCGTGACGGGCGGCGAAAGGGGGCCGACGGGCGGCTAAGGGGCCGCGACGGGCGGCTAAGGGGCCGACGGGCGGCTAAGGGGCCGACGGGCGGCGAAGGGGCCGTGACGGGCGGCTAAGGGGCCGACGACGGGCGGCTAAGGGGCCGTGACGGGCGGCGAAAGGGGCCGACGGCGGCTAAGGGGCCGCGACGGGCGGCTAAGGGGCCGACGGGCGGCGAAGGGGCCGTGACGGGCGGCTAAGGGGCCGACGACGGGCGGCTAAGGGGCCGTGACGGGCGGCGAAAGGGGCCGACGGCGGCTAAGGGGCCGCGACGGGCGGCTAAGGGGCCGACGGGCGGCGAAGGGGCCGTGACGGGCGGCTAAGGGGCCGATGACGGGCGGCTAAGGGGCCGTGACGGGCGGCGAAAGGGGCCGACGGGCGGCTAAGGGGCCGCGACGGGCGGCTAAGGGGCCGACGGGCGGCTAAGGGGCCGACGGGCGGCGAAGGGGCCGTGACGGGCGGCTAAGGGGCCGACGACGGGCGGCTAAGGGGCCGTGACGGGCGGCTAAGGGGCCGACGACGGGCGGCTAAGGGGCCAACGGGCGGCAAAGGTAGGGCGCGATGCGCGCTTCGGGCAGGGCAGGAGAAATTTCGTGGTGGGCCCTAAAAAAACGTTCCCACTAGGGAACCTGCTCAGAATACCATGTTAGAATCAGGAACGGAATGAATGAATTAGGAAGCAGGTGGGTACAAGTAGGAAACCTAAAAGTGTTGTACCCTATAAGAACTACCCCACTACAGCCTAAACAGTCTATAGCATATATAAGTTTGACATGATCCGACTGTCAAACTGTATGTTTGTGTTCTCTATAGGCTATAGTGGGTTAGCCTATAAGGGGTACAACACTTTAGGGTTAGTACATTTACCCAACTCATTCATAGTTTATTTATTCCTGCACAGTTATTCGGACATGGTATTCAGAGCAGGAAACCTGTTAAGTTTTTAGGGCCCACCGATCGTTTTGCTAGTTCCTGCCCGAAGCGCCCTTGCGTTCTCCGGCCCTCTCGCACAGTGTCACGCTGCCCTGCAGCTACTCGCACTGCCTGCCCTAGCGCGCTGCCCTACTGACACGCGCGCCCCTGCTGCCCGAGAGCAGCCCCTGCCCCGCGCGCCCCTGCTGCCTGCGTGCAACCCCTGCCCCGCGCGCCCCTGCTGCTTGCGAGCAGCCCCTGCCCCGCGCGCCACTGCTGCCTGTGAGCAGCCCCTGCCCCGAGCGCCCCTGCTGCCCGCAAGGAGCCCCTTCCCTGCGCGCCCCTTCTGCCCACGAGCAGCTCCTTCCCCAGCACGCCCCGTCTGCAGAGTTGCGTCTGCAGGGTTCGCACCCTACTGCCCTGCGCGTCGCGCCCTACTGCAGCCCGCACATCGCGCTCTGCTGCTCCGCGCGTCGCGCCCTGCTGCAGCCCGCACGTCGCGCCCTGCTGCCCTGCGCGGCGTGCCCTGCTGCAGCCCACGCGTCGCGCTCTGCTGCTCCGCGCGTCGCGCCCTACTGCAGCCCGCGCGTCGCGCTCTGCTGCCCCGCGCGTCGTGCCCTGCTGCAGCCCGCACGTCGCGCCCTACTGCCCCGCGCGTCGCGCCCTGCTGCAGCCCGCGCGTCGCGCCCTACTGCCCTAGCACAGCGCGCGCCCTGCTGCCCGCGCCGCCCAGCCCGAGCCGCCCTCCTGCTACTACTGCTACTACTGCTGCTGCTGCTGCTGCTCGTGCTACTGCTGCTGCTGGTGGAGGTGCTACTGGGAGTGCTGGAGGTGCCGCCGCCCAGCCCCACCGAGCCGCCCTGCTGCTACTACCGCTGCTGCTGCTGCTCGTGCTACTGCTGCTGCTGGTGGAGGTGCTGCTGAGAGTGCAGGAGGTGCTGCTGGTGCTGGAGGTACTGGAGGTGCGGCTAGGAGTACTGGAGGTGCTGGAGGTGCTGAACCTACTACTAACCGTAACTGCCTGTAAAGGCCACTGTCACGGTAGTTGCAGCGGCTAGGGGTGGACAGCAGCAGTCACTGCCTCTCCCGGACGACCCCACCCCTCAGCAGCTTCGTGAGTGGGTTATTCAGCGAGGCAGTCCTAGTGATGGAGGTTTTGGTTTTATGTGGCCTCAGCGACCTCGCGACTGTGCTTCTCAGCGATGCGTCCCTGGTAGTGTAGAGGCTGCTGCTCTCAGTTCTAGTGAGTCTGCTGCCGCTCCAGGTGCTGGTGAGTCTGCTGTAGCTCTAGGTGCTCATGGGTCTGCCGACACTCTAGGTGCTAGTGCGTCTACTGCCATAGGTCCTGCCCCAGCTGAGGCCTTGCACACTTTCACACTTGACTCAGGCGCGTCACGTTGCTTCTTTCGTGATTGCACCACAGTCACACCACTCGCAGCACCTGTCCTAGTCTCACTGGCTGACCCCATTGGGGGCCCAGTAGTTGCGCGAGCCTCCACTTTCCTCCCGTGTCCGGCAGTCCCCTTCCGGGTTTCTCTCAGGTCTCCACCTCCCCGCGTTCTCAACAAACTTGTTGAGCAACGCAGTTCTCCAGGATGAATGGGTTGACACCTTCATTCCTGGAGGACAGAGTGTGGCGATTTGTAAGTGCTCACGGACTGGCCGTAACCTTGCTACGTTCACTCGTCAGCCTGGGTTCGGTATGTACACCCTGACCACTGCGTCTGCATAGGTGGCTGAGTCAGGTCAGGTGGCTGTGTCGAGTCGGGTGTCTGCGTCTGGTCAGCTTGCAGCGTCTTGCTCATGTCGAGTACTCTCTCACCAGACTCTCCTCTGGCACCACCTGCCTAGGTCACCCCTTGGTGCCGCATCTCCGTAGCATGCACTCCCATCTCCTTGTCTCTGGCCTTCCCAGGTCCCTGCCCTCCCTCCCGTGCTCGCCTGCCCCGCCGTGCTTTCCCTGCATCGAGGGGTGGCAGCGCGCCGCTCCTCACTCCTCCGAGTTTCCTCCGACCACTGCTCCTCTGCAAACTCTCCCCATGGACGTTTGGGGCCCGCTCCCTGTCGGTGGGACGGACCAGGAGCGCTACTTCCTGCTGGTTGTTGACGACTACACACACTACACCACTTTCTTCCCCTTGCGGCGCAAGGCAGACGTCAGCGGTGTTTTGATCCCCTGGATCCGTGCTACTCGTCGCCAACTGCGCGAGCGGTTTCGTCGGGACTTCCCAGTCCTGCGTCAACACTCTAACAGGGGCGTTGAGTTCTCTTCTGACCTCCTTGCGGAGTTCTGTCGAGACGAGGGCATCCGCCACTCGTTCACGCTTCCGGCCTCTCCTCAGCAAAATGAGATTGCTGAGCATCGCATTGGCTTGATCGTGGAGGTTGCTCGTACCTCCATGATCGGCTGCTCCCCATTTTCTGTGGCCGTTTGCGGTTCGATACGCTGTGCATCAGCTCAACCTCTAGCCCCGTGTCTCTGAGCCAGAGACCTCGCCCACACTCTGGTGGACGGGGAAGGTTGGCAATGCGTCAGTGTTTTGGGTCTGGGGCGCGCTCTCCCTTGTTCGCGATGCCAAAGCAAGCAAGCTCTCCTCTCGCACTCTCCGCTACGTCTTCCTTGGCTTCCCCACCGATGCCCCGCCGTGGCAGTTCTACCACCCGCGCTCGCGTCGAGTCTTCTCCTCCCAGGACGTCACCTTTGACGAGTCTGTCTGTTTCTACAGGCTACACCCGCACGCGTCCCACCCGGTCCTCCTAGCGCCTCTTATCTTGGTACCAGTCCCCCCCCCCGGTAGATCCCCTCCCCCCACAGGGTCTTGCTCCCTCAGGTGTGTCTCAAGTAGACCCACCCCCCTTAGTTGAGCCTTTGGAGATCTCTTCTGACTCCTCTGGCCCAGCTGAGGGGGGCGACCCCGCCGTTGACGATACGATGGCCACTCGCCGCTCTCCACGTTTGGAGACCCCCCTTGGTTTTCCGCCTCGTCCGTCTTCGCCGCCTCTGTAGCCTGCTACTATGGACTCTGGAGCTGAGACTGCTGGTGCTGAGCCTGTGGATGCTGAGACAGAGGGTGAGGGTTCTGGAGGTGCTGCGACTGGGGGTGCTGCGACTGGGGGTGCTAGTTGTGGGGGTGCTGCGACTGGGGGTGCTGACTCTGGGGGTGCTGAGAGTCCTAGTGGTGGTGGAGCTGTGGGTGAACCTGCTAGAGGTCCTGGAGCTGGAGAGCCACCGCAGCCTGATCTACTTGAGACCTACTAGTCCTGGAGGTACAGCTGGTGCTGGAGGTGCTGGAGGCGCTGGAGCTGGAGGTACTGGAGCTGCTGGGGCTGCTGGTCCTGGAGGTGCTCGTACTGGAGGTGCTGGAGCTGCCGGAGCTGGTGGTGCTGTTAGTGCTGGAGGTGCTGGGGGTACTGGAGCTGCTGGTACTGGAGGTGCTGGTGCTACTGGTACTGGAGCTGCTGGGGCTGCTGGTCCTGGAGGTGCTCGTACTAGAGGTACTAGAGCTGCCGGAGCTGGTTGTTCTGCTAGTGCCAGAGGTGCTACTGGAGCTGCTAGCACTGGAGGTGCTGGTGCTACTGGTCCTGGAGGTGCTTGTACTAGAGGTGATGAAGCTGCCGGAGCAGGTGGTGCTGCTGGTGCTGGAGGTGCTACTGGAGCTGCTGGCACTGGAGGTGCTGGAGGTACTGCTGGTGCTGGAGGTGCTGGAGCTGGAGATACTGGAGGTACTGGAGGTGCTAGAGCTGCTGGTCTTGGAGGTGCTCGTACTAGAGGTGCTGGAGCTGCCGGAGCAGGTGGTGCTGCTGGTGCTGGAGGTGCTGGAGGTGCTACTGGAGCTGCTGGCACTGGAGGTGCTGGAGGTACTGCTCGTGCTAGAGGTGCTGGTGCTGCTGGAGCTCGTTGTGCTGCTGGGCTGGAGGTGCTACTGGAGCTGCTGGTGCTGGAGGTGCTCGAGCTGCTGGTGCTGGAGGAACTGGAGCTGCTGGTACTGCCCCGCGCCGACTATTTTTCTACCCGTAGCCGCAGTCGTCCCTGCCGCCGCCTGACTCGGTCCTTCGCCAGGTTCTTAGTCTCCCGTTGTCAACTGGCCTCACTCCACCTCTCCTGTGTCCACCGATAGACCAGTCTCAGCCACGGCTTCTTCCTAGCTCCCCGCTGCCTGCGCCTGCTCCTCACACTGAGGTGATTGAGTCCTTGACTGAGCGTCGTGAGCATGAGACTCGTGCTTCTACACCTGTTCGTGCTCGTTGTATCCGTCAGAATGTATTTGCTGTCTAGCCTACAGTGGGGTACTCTATAGTGAGTACAACCCAATTTAGGGTTTGCTATTTGTATCCCAACTTTCTATAGTGAAATCATTCCTCATTCTCCTTCTCGACTTTTCTCTCGACACTCATGCTAGCACCTAGAATCCCAGCCATGGTTCCTAAGTTCAACTAGCTATTCCAACATGCTATCAGAGTAGGTCGTTCCCAGGACCTCACATTAATGGGCCCACCACCTAATGCCCTGCTAGCCTAGGCCCCGGCCCGTCGCCCCTTGGCGTCGCCCCTAGCCCCTAGGCTCGGCCCCTTGGCCCCGTCGCCCCTAGCTGTGCCACTCGGCCCCGTCGACCCCGTCGCCCCGCGCCAGGCCGGGTACTTAGCCCGCAATCGGCCCGTACCTAGTCCGCGGCCCGTCGACACCCGCGCCCGGCCTCGTCCCTCGCCCAGCGCCTGGCCCCGTACCTAGCCCGCGCCCGGCCCCGTACCTAGCCCCGCGCCCGGCCCGTACCTCGCCCGCGACCGGCCCGTACCTAGCCCGCGCCCGGCCCCGTCTCTCGCCCGCGCCCAGCCCGTACCTAGCCCGCGATCGGCCCGTACCTAGCCCGCGATCGGCCCGTCTCTAGTCCCGCGCCCGGCCCCGTACCTGCCCAGCACCCGGCCCCGTCTCTAGCCCCGCGCCCGGCCCCGTTCCGCGCCCATCGCCCGGCCCCTTACCTGCCCAGCGCCAGGCCCCGTCCTTAGCCCAGCGCCCGGCCCCGTACCTAGCCCGCGCCCGGCCACGTACCTAGACCCGCGCACGGCCCCGTATCTAGCCCGCGCCCGGCCCTGTACCTAGCCCGCGCCCGGCCCAGTTCCTAGCCCGCGCCCGGCCCCGTACCTGCCCGCGCCCGGCTACGTACCTAGACCCGCGCATGGCCCCGTACCTAGCCCGCGCCCGACCCTGTACCTAGCCCGCGCCTGGCCCCGTACCTAGCCCACCCCCGGCCCAGTACCTAGCCCGCGCCCGGCCCTGTACCTAGCCTCGCGCCCGGCCCTGTTCCGCGCCCAACACCCGGCCCCGTACCTGCCCAGCTCCCGGCCCCGTCCCTAGCCCAGCGCCCGGCCCCGTACCTAGCAGCGCCCCTCGGCCCCACTGGCCTCGTTGCCCCTAACTATGGCCCCTCGCGACCTGCAGCCCCTAACCGCGGCCCCGTCGCCTCTAGCCTCGGCCCCTCGCAACCCGTCGCCCCTAGCCGCGGCCCCGGTGCCCTGTCGCATCATGGCGAGTAAGGGGGTGGCAAGAGGGGGTTCTTCCTGCCCGCGTGCCCTGCAGTCGCACGCGCAGCTCCGCCCCCGCCCCCCTCCCCCCCCTCCATGGGGACGGGGGGGAGAGGGTGTGAGGGGGTGGCGGATGTGCCTCAGCAACAGCAGCTGCCGCCGCGCCTCCTCCTCTCTCTCTCCCTGCCGCACCTTGTGTTGGGAGAGGGGGGGGAGCTTGGAAGTTCAGGGGGAGGCAGGAGGGGATCTGCAGCACCAGCCCCCCCCGCCCCCCCTTTCTCCTCCATCCCTGGGGGGTGAAGGATTGTGGAGCGGCAGTGGGGGGGAGGGGATCTGCAGCACCAGCCCCCCCCCCCCGCCCCCCCCTCCCCCCCCTCCCTTCTCCTACCTCCCCCTGCTGCGGGTGCAGCAGTGGGGGGGAGGGGATCTGCAGCACCAGCCCCCCCCCCCCCCCCCCCCCTTCTCCTACCTCCCCCTGCTGCGGGTGCAGCAGTGGGGGGGAGGGGATCTGCAGCACCAGCCCCCTCCCGCCCCCCCCCCTTCTCCTCCATCCCCTGCTGCAGGTGCAGCAGTGGGGGGAGGGTATGGGGGTGGCGGGTGAGTGAACCGTCCCCTGCTCCTCCTCCTCCTCCATCTCCCATTGCTGCAGCTGCCGCTGAGGGGGGTGGGTGTGTGGGAGCCGAGGGAGTGGTGCTAGGGGGGTGACGTGGGAGTGGAGCTAGGGGTGCAGCAAGGGGTGTGTGAAAGGGGGGTGGGACAGTTGGGGGAGGTTGAGCGGAGGCTGCCGTCTTGTCGTCCGTAGCACCTGTAGTCCGGGGCTCTGCTGCTGGTAGCTCAGAGAGCCTGTTGCGCCTGTCGCCCGTGGGTCCGTTGCTCCTGCCGCTCAGAGTTAGCCGCAGAGCCAGTTAGTCCTGTAGTCCGGGGCCCTTGCTCCGGTAGCCACCGTGCGCGCCGCTCCTGTTGCCCGTGTGTCTGCAGCATCAGCCGTCGCCTCCTATCTCCTCTCCTCTCACAGTCCAGCCTCCTCCTCCTCACTTGCCCTTTGTGAATGCCTCTAGCTTTGCTTGTACTTGTGAACCTGTTCTATGACTGCTTGCTCTGCTGATTATACCCCACTTTGACTATGGGGGTGTGTCAGAATGTATTTGCTGTCTAGCCTGCAGTGGGGTACTCTGTAGTGAGTACAACCCAATTTAGGGTTTGCTATTTGTATCCCAACTTTCTATAGCGAAATCATTCCTCATTCTCCTTCTCGACTTTTCTCTCGAAATCATGCTAGCACCTAGAACCCCAGCCATGGTTCCTAAGTTCAACTAGCTATTCCAACAGTATCGCCCGTCCTCGTCCTCCTGCTGTCCCAAGCACTCACGGTATGGCACTTCGTCCTTCCTCTGTTCCACAGCGTGTTGTCCTGCCTGAGCCTCCCGCGTCCTCTCTTTCGCACGTTCCTGACCCTGAGTCCGACCTTGCTCGTACTGCAAGTCCTACTGTCACTCGTCTCCTCGCTACTATCATCACTGACCCTGACTTTGAGTCTACTGCTACGTTTTCCCTAGTTACGGAGCAAGTCGACTTTGCAACTACGATTCGTCTCGACTACGTCGCGAGTCTTATTACTTAGTCTGAGTCTGTCTGTCCTCCGTCCGTCAGGGGTGAGCCTGCCCTTAGCAGTGACGTCCTTGAGGACTGACAGTTTGAGCTTGAGTGTCTTGCGGCCGCTTTACCTCGTTTTGCATCCATGCTGCTTTGCCCTGAGGGACACCCGGATGCACTTGACATCCCTACCCCGCGCTCTTACGCTGAGGCGATCGCAGGTGAGTACTCCTCTCAGTGGCAGACAGCCATGGACGCAGATATGGCTTTCTGGAAGTCCATAGGCACCTATGCCGACGAGGTTCCTCCTCCTGGGGCGAACATAGTTGACGGCATGTTGATTTAAAAGGTGAAGCGGCCGCCGGGTTCTCCGCTTGCCTTCAAGGCGTGTTACGTTGCTCGAGGCTTTAGTCAGCGACAGGGGGTCGACTTCTTCCATACCTTCTCCCCCACCCCGAAGATGACTACTCGTCGGTGTTAAGGTTTAGCCCTTCACGCGCCTGGTTTTGCATGTAGCAACCCTATGCGATATAGCGAGGTTTCGCATACCGCATACCGGAGCGTCGGTATTCGCCGAGTACACTCCAATAGTGCACTTTGGTATGAACTGTTCAATACTGGACCGATTTGGAGGGAAGTGACGACATTGCACACACGAGTACGTGCAACTGTCTGTTGCGAGCACCTGCGCAACTACTCCTGGACAGGTAGAATATACACCTGACGGTACTTTCACCTGATGGCGTTATCACCTGGCGGAGCCAACCTGGAATCGCATACTAGAGTAGGTGCTTGCACATTCTCCTTGAACAACGTTCTTCATGAACAACGTTCTCGTAGAACGTTGTCGCAAACGTCACTATGTTTTCTATAAGGTTCATATTGTATCTGTTGTAATCAATCAATTAATGGATCACTTTCCTTTTGTTACTGGATAACAAGCCTGTTGCTGCATACCAAGCACGCGGTTATCCAAATACCAGTATCCGGTCTCCCACAAGTCCTTACACGGAAAACTTACACCTCTCTCTCATATCGTGCAACTCTGCGCCTAGGCTCTCCCTTAATCGTCTATTCTCCGCAAGCGTTACGTTGCTCGAGGCTTCTGTCAGCAATAGGGGGTCGAACTTTTCCATACCTTCTCCCCCACCCCAAAGATGACTACTCTTCGGGTGCTGCTATGCGTTGCAGCACAGCGTGACTACGAGCTGCACTCCCTCGACTTCTCCACAGCTTTCTTGCAGGGCAGCCTTCACGAGGAGATCTGGCTGTGCCGCCCACCTGGCTTCACTGGGTCATTTCCTGCAGGTACCCATTGGAGCCTCCGGCGGCCAGTCTACGGTCTCCGCCAGGCGCCCCGAGAGTGGCACGACACACTAAGGACTACACTTTCAGCTCTTGGGTTTGCTCCTTCCTCTGCTGACCCGTCGTTGTTTCTACGCACCGACACTACCGTGCCGCCGTTCTATGTTCTATTGTACGTCGACGACTTGGTTTTTGCTACTGCTGACACGGAGGCGCTGGCCCTAGTGAAGGCGGAGCTGTAGGAGAGACATACCTGCACTGACCTGGATGAGTTGCGGAGCTATCGTGGCTTGCAGATCACCCGGGACAGAGCACGGCGCACCATCACCCTGACTTAGTCACACATGGTGCACCAGGTCCTTCAGCGCTTCGGCTTCCAGTTCTCCTCGCCACAACCCACTCCTCTGTCTACCGGCCACTTGCTCTCAGCTCCACCTTTGGACGAGTCCGTAGAGCCGAGTGGTCCGTATCCAGAGCTTGTGGGTTGCCTCATGTACCTGATGACGTGCACACGACTTGACCTCGTGTACCCTCTCAGCCTCCTGGCTCGCTACGTGGCTCCCGGTAGACACCAAAAGGTTCATTGGGATGCTGCGAAGAGGGTACTGCGTTACTTGTGTAGTACATCGGGCATGGGGCTTGTGCATGGAGGACGGGGTTCAGTGGTACTCACAGGACACTCCGACGCTTCTTGGGCCGA